TTTATTTCACTTAATATTAACATGAAGATGTAGAAAGATATGATTTGTTTGGTTTCACTTGAGCAAGTAGTCGGTAACCGATGTATATCATATATTTTAAATGACTAGATTGTAATATACATTTATATGAAAATAATTTGTTAAATCATTGGTTCCCTGAGGAAATATGAACAGAGAATGAACATGATGATGTAATAGAAAGTTTACGATACTAGATTACGTAATGTAAATAGTAACAATGAAAGGTTGTGTGTGTAAATAAAAAGCCTTGTAAAACTCACAAATTAGCAACGGTTTATAGTGTTATAATTAAGACATTTTTGTTAAGATAATTAAAGGTAATAGAGGAGTTAAGTGAAATGAAGTGATGCCAGAGACAGCTTTAGATAAAATCATAGGGATATGACAGACAATTAGAGAGGGGAATATTTTCAAATACGAAATATAATAATAATGACCATGGTAGCGGTAAATATAAGACGTACTTCTTTTGAACGTACAGTTCCGGCTTCATCCCATGGATGGCTGGAACTCTTGTTCTTTTAAGGAGTTGGATGTGTACATAGAGGCGACCAGACGAGGAAGCTTATTCTTTACGGATATGAAAAGCAAGTTCCTACTAGTGAATGGTAGTCGCAGCTTTGCTACATATAACGTTCTTTTTACCCCTGCAGTTAACCAACTTTTTGTCATATCAGAAGTCCGGTCACCTTTAAATTCTATATTCATATAAATATATTTGTTTGGATCGGAATTGCCGAACTTTTTGTTCTGAATTCTTTTTTGTTTTATTCTTCGTGAAGTGACTTGGATAGGTGTTTCCAGCCAGAGTTTTCCTGAGGAACGAAAGTTCTTCGTCAATGCATTCCGTATTACATATCCGATGAATTCGATAACACAAAGGGTGAATAAGATTACGCTCTATGCTTAATGGAACCCAGCTACTGAAGTTTTGTAGATTGATCTTTTTAAGGATACATCACTTCTTGTCAGACGTTTATTAAGAAAAGCGATTGAATGACCAAGCTTATTTTCTAAAGTGAAATGTTTGAAAGTATGGCATGCGTCAAAGGAATGTGAAGGACGTACCATTTCAATATTGTCGTCACAAATGTGTCGTTTATGTATCTTATAGATTATATCGATTGATAATCGAACTAAGTTGTCTGTTTTCCAGCTTTGTCCTCACGAAACTGTCACTTCAACAAAAAAATTCATATCTATACTATTGTACAGCTTGATAATAAATTCGTTGAAAAGAGATCTTTTCGTACTTTAATAATAATTTATGTATGCCCTATAGTTTTCTAGTACCACTTACACAAAAATTTTCACATCAGTATGCAATAATCTACTTGATGAAAAAGCATTCTGATAAAAGTATTAGATTTAACATTTCGTATTGTCTTGTGTCCTGTGGAAAATCTCTGGCGACTGTGTCATAAATACACATAGTTATTTTAAGCTCATGCTTTTGAAATGTATAAAATGAGGCACATAATAACCTACTCCAATACATTCAAACTTAAAAATCCATTAATGTAATATGTGAACACGTGTTGGTCATCTCTATCACCATTGATAAAATATCTGTTACAGATGAAATTGATTTCACTCCTTATCTGATATTGTAAATAGCCGATATTGTGTATTTATGACTTAGTCATCTCTGGAAAACTTCCAACAAACTATACACTAATGTTTTCGTTTTTCATGGTTGAAGCTTAGAATACAACTTTAAATAAGCTGACTTTGTGACCTTTATCAAAATGTTGTACCTTCGCATGTAATTTTGTTAGCTTCATGAGTAACGCTTTTCCTCACAGAACAAACAAGGACAGGGTTTTTTGGAATATGGACACTGATCTAAATCATTAAGATTCTACTTTAGGAATCGATTAATTAAATGAAAAGTCTACTTTGAAGTAAACTAATGGTGTTGTCTTAAACGTTAGTATGGAGTAGAGAGCAAACGGCTAACCAAACTGTTACTGTTGGAAGGTGCCCGAACGGATCAGTGTTCAGGATATATAACAAAGAAACATTGAAAATAATAATGGTGTTTGATTTTTAATATGAATTGTCAGAAAATGATATGACCAAACTACTGGCTGTATAGAAAACAATTTTCAACAGGATTTCACTGACATGAATGTTAATTAAGCGTCTAATATCATGTTACCTGTTCTCTGAAAGGTCCACAAAATTATAAATTTGTTACAGATGTGTTCAAAATACCTGTTTGAAGTGAGTCTTACATCAGCACAGAGATGATTCGTCAAAACACTCCATATGCGTTTGAGCTACTATAGGTAAATATTTACCAGTTTTTCGGAACTTTTTTCGGTAGGATTTCCCAGTTATCGTTCTGCATCGATCCAAAAGTCTTTTTTCTATTAGAGTTCCACACAATTGACATAAACTTACAATCAGCGAAATATGTACCAGCAGAGAATTTAATTTCTCTAGTAGTGTTTGGGTGTTTGCGTCATTCAAATACTTAACGATTTATTCATCTCGTCGGATGCCAACTTCTCTTCAGTTCACTTTATGGACGTTTCCCATCATGTGTTTTTACCTGTTTTATCATCTATTAATGATTAATTTATCCCAGGCGCCTATTCTAACTAGAACTCTGAATGCACAGGTTAAAGGTATATTCTGTTACACGGAAAAACTTTCATTGACAATAAAACTCTTGAGCATGAAAATCTTTGGTGTGGTACAGCATAATATAAAAATCTGGCCTTAATTTGAACAGTCCCTCAAAATGATAATCGAATACTCACAAATACTAGACAAACATTTATACGTTTTCACTTTATATATATATATATATATATATATATATATATATATATATATATTTCATTTTACAGAGGAAGCATTACTTTGAATTGTTAATAGATTGATAAAATTAAATTTTTTCTGCACTCACATGATTAAAAATGAAACTTGGAAATTAATTTTGTCTAAACATTTCTATGCGTTTCATGTAATCATGTATGTTGTTACTGATTAATTGTTTACGGTAAATTCGTTTTACTAGTCTGTAAATTCTTATAGAAAGTAATAAACCTATGTGGTGCTGAAATAAATGATTTTGTACGCTTGTTAATATTCAATTGAGCAAGTACCCTATAAATTTAGATAAAGCTGAAGGTTTAATTAAGAGAAGTACCCATGTGTAAGTTGAAAATAATAATAATTATTATTTCAACTGCCAATATTTCTCTTGCTTAATATTATTTTTCGCTTTAACAGTTTTCACTTATCATGAGTCTGTGTTTATAATATACTACGAGTAAAGTTTGTTTAAACTGGTATTTAAATTTCAGTGATGAAATGTAAAACAAGAAAATCCACCGACACAAGCAAAATTATACAACCAAGTCACTCTATACATGTTAATATATGTTCACCTCGAAGAGTTGGTGTGCTGAGTTTTTTTAAGGTTCTTTCGTTCAAGTTCACCAAATGTTCATGTAGGAAATTAGAACTTATAAACTAATGTTTTGTTCCAAAGTGAGGAGTGAGCTCGTTTGTTACGGTTGCATTCAAAATATTTTACAATAACTATGAAGTTCGTTATCATATTTTGTTTAACTTATCTTAAGTAGTTACACAGTAATGGAATTCATTTTAAGTGTTTCATCACATTTATGTCTCGTCTGTTAAACTCATCTGTGTCCTAATGTGTTATTGCTGCTCTAAACTCACAACTTTAAAGCCAGATTATATTAAGATATCATATGTTTTTTTCAAAAAAAATGGTACATTCCAAACAATATTATAAATCCTATTTAAAAAGCACTATCTCCCAACCAAGAATAATTATTTTTGTTCCGTACATGTCAAACACATGCACACTTTCATAATACTACTTGTAGGAATTAAAATTAGTAGCTGGTTAACGTTGATCATCTAGTGGATAAATGTCAAATGGCTTATGTCGGTTTCTAGTTTTGATGATTATACGTAGATGAATATTCAGATACTCTAACAGTAATGTTTTAATTTTAGCAAAACTTGAGTCCTTAATTCTGTTGTTAGTCACTCCAAAAATAAATATTTTGTTTAGTTTTGGATAATACAAAGCATACTATATTAGCGAACCAACTTTTCAAAACATTATAGCCTGTCAGTAAAATGTTAAACTATATTTTATTCACTCAGTAGATTGTTATGATAAGTGTGGTAGATAAGTGATTGTGTTTAACTGAGTAAATAATAAGAAAAGACAAGATGGTGTTCTGTTTACTTGGTTCATGTCTTGGCAAATATAAACGAATTAATTCCGTAGCTTATTTAGTGCGGAACGTCATATTTACATTAGAATAAGGAACGTTTCTTTTGTTTAATCATAATATTGTCATTACAAAAACTAAACTTGAGTGACAATATATATTTATTTATCTATATTATATTGGGCGATAACTCTAGTCAGTCCTTTTTTTCTAACTCTAAAAAGTGTCATTATATAATTAATTTTAAATATTTAGGTGTACAGAAAAAAAGGTTAGAACATGCGCAGAATAAGAAAGCGACATTTTAAATAACAAATACAACATTAAACAATGAAGAAAAGAAAATAATGAACAATGGTTAACTAATAGTTAGTTTAATTAATTGTTTAATTAGTTTGGTTTAAGTTTAGGTCACTCGTCATCAGTTGAAATCACTTAGTTTTTGGATGGCTAGTTTTGACTTCATAGTGGTATGAAGTTTTGATACTCTTCAAGACTGAAACTGAAACCTTTAAGTTTCATGACCAGGTTACATTTCAGCCACTGAGTTCAATTATTTATGATTAGTATTATTTTCTGAGGACTACTAAGCTAAAAGTTATTTATCAATTACAAATCCAACTGATAAACTTAAATTAAATTTTATACCCTATATATAAGACGGACAGGCTGTATGAATCAAAGGAAGTGATCAGTGAGATTCCCTGGTAAAATTATTTTCTAACTTATGAAGTGGAATAAAACAATGTTTTATGACTAATCATTCACTTTTTAAGAGATCAAATGGGCTGGTGGATTAGAATCTTGTGAGTATTTTGGCATAAGTATGAGACAAGCAATAGCATTTATCGTTGATAAGAAAAGGTAAGTTATCATTTGTATACAGTCCAAACGTGAAGCTAATTTACGGTACGGATATGAATTTAATTCTGTGGGGTAATCAGTGTGGTCGTTATAGCTGCAGTTGCTTAATAAGCTTTGTTTATGGCGTTTTCCACACTTGGACGATGGGAAATGATATGAATGGTGGTGATTAGAATGTCTAGTATATTCTTTACTCAGTTGATAAGTTTGTGCAGCTGCTTCGAATGCTGCATTTATTGCTGCTTGAGCAGCTAACTTAGAATCAATATGATCAATTTCTTCCACTGTTTTGATTGGTAAGTCACTTCGTATATGTTTCCTTGATTTAGCTGTCTCATAAAAACCAGAAACGTTTTTGTTTGTGTTAAGATTTGGTTTCGCCCCATACATTTTTGTTTGAGATGGATTTAGATCTGTTACACCATAATCAGAAGCAATAACACGAGTAGCTGCCAAGGCCGCTGCTGCAGTTGCTGTTACAGTGGTTCGGAATATTCTTTCTGAAGTATCACTATCTACTTCATCGGTATCGCTGTTTACATCATCGTTTTCGTCATCACTTGGTGAACTTTCAGTTACTGATGGCGCGGCGTATTTGTATGATGGCTTCATTGGATACTTCTGCTTCATTATTTGGTCATATGACATTGGTAAATGTTCTCTCCAAGGAGATCTTTCTGAAACACTGCCTTTCGGTTTGTTTTTTATAAAATGAGATTTATTTAGAAAATCGCTATTACGCAATCTCGGATGGATAATTTTGTATTCATGACATTTCATTATATCTTGTTTATCACTGATAGTACTGTTGTTAATTTCAGTTTTACTATTCTTAAAAGCATTAATATTATGGATGATATTGGAGTTAGCTGAATCTAAAAATTTAGGTCTCGATATCTTATTTACTTGTCCGATTGGACTGTCAGAGTCTGGGTCAATAGGACGATATTTGACATCTGATGTAAAATTTGTTGCATTTAGGATAACTTCTGAATCACAATGGTTTATGAAGTGTCCATTATCAGGATGAATTGAAAAATAACGGTTTGATTGATTATTACTTTTACCACAATTACTGCTACTATTATTATTAACGGTCTTATTACTTTTACGTGATAAAAGTTTTACAGGTTTGCAGTACTTTTTAAAATAGTACTGTTGTCTGGAAATACTCTTCTCAATTAACTGATCTGTTTGTTGTAATGATGATTTATATTTTGGTTCTTGTCTGTTTGTGTTATTGCGTGTTTTATTTCTATCATTGTAATTATGATTGTCATGCATGTGTCTATTAACATAAAGGTGTTCAGAGTATGGCTCACTATTACGTCGTTTACCTTGTCCAGTACCTGAGATTGCATAAATGAAATCTTGCCAAGTGAGTAGTTCTGTTGATTGGTATAGTTTGTTGTTCATTACAGCAAGTATTGTTGCAATACTTAAGAGGCCAAGTTGATCCAGCAAAAAAATACCTATAAGTGAAAGTAATCGAATGATTTGGTTGATATTTGTTAAGAATAGAATAGGTTTGAAATCCTCGACCAATATTTAGTTTTTAAACATCACTGTATAAATTTAACTGAATTGTTTAAGAGACTAGTCGCTAAAATTTTCAGCACTCCTCAGTATGAAAGCGTTAGATAGTTCAGTATCACTAGTTATAAACAAAGAAGACATATTTGCACTTAAAATTGCATATTCGTAAGTTTTATTTATTGTGAATGTGCTTCACCATTTCAAAATCTAAAATATCATGTTGTTTGAGCAGCTATTACTTGAAATTTATTAGCTGTAAATTTTTCTATTGGTTCTTTTTTTACCAATTTATTAATTTTAGGAAATTATGGATGGCATACTGATTTTTCTTGAAAGGTTAAATTTGGTTTACACTTATGGGTACCAGGTTATCAAAGGAAATCTTCATTGTTATTATCATAATCTAGATAACTATGACCGCGAACCCATTACAAGGATCTTTGATAAAAATTTTGTACAGCTGAAACGAAAATGATTCGAACACCTAGCAATTTTCTTGTGGTAAAGAGAGAAATATATAGGTGATTGTGTATAACCGGAATTCATTATGAGTCAGCACTTGTAAAAACGGAAATCGTTGAGTAAAATGGGATGATTTCGTAAATATTCAAATAAATTGTCAGCACTCTGATTCACTAGCGAATTCGCAATCAAATAGATTCTTAACTGATTATAACTGAGGGGCTTTTACGTTGCAAAGAATAATTACCTATTACTTTAGAAATTATGAATATATTCAATTAATAACTCATTTAATATGGCACTTAAAGGTATGTAAATTGAACATTCTTAGTTTCAGAGTTTGCTAAATTAAATTATTCTAAATCCCTGGTAATTATGTTGGGTATTGGCAATGAGGTTAAAATAAAGTCTTAATTCTTGCACTAGATACAGTCCAAGAAAATTTGTCTGTCATATTAGAACCTCAGTGTTATATTCATAAAACAAAACTGCTAAACACGTCTCGATTTCATTTGATGTACATTGTTGTGCTCCTGCTTGTTATATAAATAGGAAACGAATGTTGTTTACTAAACTGGGAAAGTATCTTCTATTTCGACCATAAAACGTTTTCCCATAATATTTTTATTATAAAAGTGGATTCGTAGACCTGAAGGTAAAGCTATCCAAAATAATAGGCTAGTTGGAAATGTTTGTTGTTCTATGCACCATCCTCTGTACTAAGTTTAAGGTAATTTAGTACTAGTTCATACCAGATACATGCAGCCGGAAATTCATACATATAGAACTATCTTTAATTCAGAAATAGAAAGTGTATATGGTAAGGAATTCAGACTTACCTAAAACAGGTAGTGTCCTCATTGAGCGGGGAGCATTTGTTGATACAATCACCACATACATAGTCATACTGAGAACTAAGGAAAGTGCAACTGATAACCTATCTCCTGTGTCGTCTAATGTGAAGATCAAGCATGCAAGAGCAGATAACATTGAAAATGGAACAAGAACAAGTACAATAAAATACAGCGGCTGCCTTTTAAGATGGATAGCAATACTCACATATTGGTAAGTGACATTCATATCACTACGATATTTCTTCCGTACAAAATGAACAGATTGAATTTCCCATTCACTGACATTAGAATTAGGTAAGTAACTATTATCCACTGCTGAACCATGTGTAAATGGTTGCAAAAGTAATTGTTGTTCACCACTTTGCCATGGAACAAGAATCAGAAAACATGTTTGATAATCAAACGGGAAAAATGATACATCAAGGGGACATGTCACATCTAGAACCGCGCCATGAAGCCAAGTGACTGATCCGTCATTGCTTACGGTAACGCGTCCTCTTACACCTGCACTAAAATCGAAATCAGTGGATGCTTTTCCATTCATAACGCCCACATCTGGTATCCATAAACTTGTTGTTGGTAGACTGACTTCTTGAATTTCAGAGAACTCCTCTGGATCCCAAGTCAATCTAGGATCGGTCCATCTCTTCATGATCCAAGAAGGATTTAACACCAGTGAAAAATTATAGTTTAAACAGAATAAAAAGTTATATCAAAACATGGATACATTGAAAATAATGTTTTACTTTTTAAAAAATTACATTAATTATCACCAGAAAAAACTTCAAAGTTATTGCTTACGGAACTGGTGTAGTGAACAGAACACGGGTGGGGACAATCGAATGTATTTAACACAAAATTCCAGGACTTGTTAATGGAATCTAACAATCATAAAGTAAATACTTGATTTGCAAAATGTCCACCAATTGTCTCAAAATAACTCAGACTTCATTATTCTTGTATTTTCATGCAAATTGCATTTTTTTTCCCATCCTTTACTGTTCGATCCTCTTGTCTCTCTGCTGCCAGACCTGTTCACGACTAACATCATATACCACTTATGTCAATATAAGTAGCACACACCATACTGGAACCATCTTCATTCACCTGATAGTTTTTCTGTATTTTTAGATATTATACTTTTGTGTGTTCGTTGTCGGGACATAAGGTAAAGCCTATTATATTATTTTACTTAAGAATAAAAGTTATACTCAGTTAATTCAATTTCTTGTTTTCCCTCACTATATAACTTATCAGATCAAGATAACTGACATACTGAAATGGATGTACTCATCATTTGCATGTTTAAATTGTATTTATTTATTAATGAAAGAATGGATATCTTAAGAGGTTTTGCTTTAAAATGTCTATCCTGTTTAACCAGAAAAACGTATCGAACCTGAAATTTTAATGAATTATGCCTCATTTTCCCTGATATTAAGTTCGTTTTTGGTTGGTGTCATATTGGTAACAAGACTCGCAAATGTCTATACGCATATGATTATTTAAACAAGATAGAAAATTAAACCTTTAGTTGTTGGTTTTTTCATTGTTCGAATCCCTACCATACTGAACAACATATTGGCTTTTCTTCTTTATATCATTCTACTCCCTAATTAACTATTTTAGAAATCAATTGACCTTTTTGAACAAAATTATGGTAATCGATTTCAACTCTTTACTTATGTACATTTATTTACACCTCTTTTAAATTTTAGTTGCAATGCTTTGCATCTTTAATTTCAATTTGGCATTTGTTGTTTTAACTTCGTCTATCCGCTTCCCTTTAATCAAATGTTTTATATAATGTTGATTGATTAAGATATGAATTTTTGTGACATCAAAAGAGGAAAGAAATTTATCCCTTAAAGATGAAGAGGCAGAGAGGTAGAGAAAAATGAAATTGTAAAAGTCATAACTAATAAATAGTACGTCTGTTTTTTTGTGTACACTATGAAAACCTCAGCTAAAGTTTATAATAACTCATCTATAAGTAGATATTGAAAGAAAAGCACAAGTAATGACTTGAATAATTTGTGAGGATATAAATCAGTAAAAAATGACTATAATTTCTGCTTTACACAAATTTATAAGCACATGTCAATATTGGTTAAAGGCGATGTGGAAGAAATTATTTTCTGCTACTATTGCTATTACATATTCTGTGACCGTTTATAAGAAATTCAATTAACTGAACCCTTACTCGTTATCAGTTGTTCATTAAGATTGACTTTTACCAACTCATAAGCTAAATATTTGTTGAAACGGTCGGAACTGTTTCAGTGTTTTGAAAAGTTAAATCATACCAGTATGAAATGTATAATTCATACTTAATAATGTCCTGAATGAAGGTTGGTCATTAACTTCGAATAAAACGTTGGTAACTATTGATTTGAATTAAATATGAACAACGTTTAATTCATTAATAAATAATATGACCCTTATGCTTGACTAAATAATCGAATGTGGTTTGGATTCTCATTTATAAAGCATCCAAGCCCTAGATCGATGTTTGTTTTCTAAGCGATCACACTACAAACATATCTGGGATGACGAAATCCAAGTTCTCAATGATTTACCTTATCCAGACTAGGAATGCTTTTCATTTGACAACGTTCTTTGTGATTTATTCAATCTGTTGATGTTATTACACTTGATATTATCAAATATTTTACATTTATTAAAGCACACACCAATCTTCACAACTTTAAAGACACCTTTAAAATATATTTAGTTTGAACGAAGCTGTGTTAAAAATGTTTTTTTTTCTCAATTCCAAATAATTCAAGCACACAAGATATGTTACACTAGTTTGTCATTTTGTACCGAATGTGTGATTTGACCCACTGAGAATTAGAAATCAACTCCGTTTTGTTAATCATAACGGCTAGATTTCGTTATGTCTTGTCCTATTGAGGGCAGTTGAATTATGATGGTAGTTTTTACCTGGATATAATTCAGGAATGTATTTTGATAAACAAAATAAATGATGTTCCCAAACAACTAGTTCATCACATATAATGATAACTGAGTTATATCAAATAGTTGAAAGATCAGAACATGATAAATGGCTTTTACTCTAGTTTAAATGAGCAACTATCAGATGCAACTGAGCTCAATTTCTCATCAACAAATTACATATATCAAAAGAGCGAACGACGACAGTTTAATAGGATGATTGGATGTACAGTCATGTTTCTTTACTTAGCAGCGTAAAAGTACCAAACATTTTCACAAATAAGTGCATCTTGAGTAAGCGGTTTAAACTCATTTCTGATATAGTCTTTGATAGTGAATAATGTTAAAGTTGAATTGAAATCTTATTGAGATTTAAGATTAGACTGATTGCTAAGTTTCATATTCATTTTAAAGTCATTAACAAGCTTTGTTTGATTGAAAGTAATTTTATCAGAAATTTCACTAGTTGAGATCATGAAACTATTGAAGGTAGACCATCATGGAAAACCTGGAAGCACTGGACGGCCGTTTCGTCCTAGTACGGGACTCCTCAGCAGTGCGCATCCACGATCCCGCCCCCCGCGAGACTCGAATCCAGGACCTATCGGTCTCGCGCTCGAGCGCTTAACCATTAAAACACTGAACCGGCATCCAACGATGCTAATGTCTGACTTCAACCAATCCACGAGGTTGCTCCACCGCACACCATTGTCTTCAGTGAGTTGATATCTTACAGCAGACCTGGTTGAACTCCACCGGTGACGACTTCTTGGTTGAAGTTAGACATTAACACCGTTGTTGTAACTGGACATTGGAAAACGTTTTAAAGACTTACCATAGTAAACCATCCAGATATACTCAAGGTTTCTTCTGATTGTGACTGAAATAGAAAGATTGACAGATAATTCCCATTTAAACATAAAAATTAAAACACGAATTTCAGCGAAGGGATCTCTTTTCAACGAATTTATTATCAAGCTGTACAATCGTATATATGTGAAAATTTTGTTTTTGTAAAAGTACTAATAAATGAAACTCAAAATGTGATTAATTATTGAACAGTTCATGTAAAATATCTAAAGCAATTCTGGTTGCTAGCAAAACATGACACTTCTTTTGTAACACTATTTAGAAATATGAAAAGTGACTTTGAAGTTCATTTAGTGATAAATATCATGTTATTGGAGATAAAGTCTAATATAATTGTTCGTCGTATTTTATTTAAAATCATACAAAATTCAACAGAATCCCAAAATAATATAAATTCAGGTTACAACAGATCCATTACCCTGATGTAGCGGAAAGTGTGCTTTTCAGAAGACAAATTGTGAAGGCTAATATCTTCGCCATTTCTTCAACATCATGTCAGCTAATTTACTTGTGTCTAGCAGCCAAAAAACGATTACGTACCTCAAGAGCCACTGTATTTTTAGAGTGGCTTGTCACAATTCATCTTCCCCAATAAATTACATTCCTACGGTAGCCTGCAACTAGACTTATGCAGTGTATTCAACAACAAAATATCCATTAAATACCTAAAGGTCAAGCTACATTAATATCACAAAATACAGCTAAAAAACATGAGTATACCTAACTTTCAAAAAGCGTGGTGATAATGAGCTTTTATCATTAATTGTATTTTTAATTATATATTAGTCAATTTTTTCTTCATTAGTTTAGAGATTCATCCATCAAACTACAAGTAATAATGCACTTAACCAATCTAAATGGTGACTTTATAAAAATTTATTTCCAATTTAGCTGACGTAAATTATGTAATAAATAAGTCCCATATCTTTTTCTACGACGTTTTGTATGTTTTGATATCTTCTGGTGTGTTCATTGTATTTATTTTTGTCATCTTGAAAAATTCAGCTGATCGACAATAGACAATACGGAATGGTAATTCTCTAAACACCTAACGAAAAGTTAGATGATTTTCAGATAGAAAGTTTTTTTGTCGTACTTGTGGGAAACACTTAGTGAATCGCTTTCGTATCTGTTTAAAATTTCTTGCTTATGAACGCCTGATTATAGTGAGATTTTTGTAGTTGATTTGAACATTACCATAGGTATCGATTGCCGAAAACTGTAGTAAATCTTTGTATTGTAGCTGCCTTCTGTTAACTGTATAGAATTTGCAGTCTGAAATTATGTTTGTCTTGACTTCTTGAAAAAGATATACATAACTGCATTTATCAAAGAAAAGATACAACCATCTTTTGTCGTTCCTTAAATTCAGAACGAAAACGAAAGCCTACATTTCTGTTTCATAATGTCATTATCGAAATGCATGATGATTGTGTAGACCACTTATTCAAAGCTTTACTCGATCTCAACATTCTTTATAATCAAATCTTGATGGTATAGTGAAAACTGTTAAAGCATTTTCTATTAATGTATCTTTTCGTCTATCCAAGAATTTGTGAACAAAATTTTCTACGGATTTATTGACCATAAAATACACAAAAAATAGACCTACAAATCCAAGAATCTGTACAACATTATAAGTTATATTAACGTGTACAGGATTTGTAGACTGATTCATATAACCATTTGGTCGGACAGTTAAACTCCCTCGATTCAATAGTTGAGCTACCAGTTTTTCTTCTGCTGTAAATGAACCACTCCGAAGATTCGAATCACTTATTGTAAATTGCGGTTCATCATATGAAACTAAAGAAATCAAAAATAGAGTGATCACCATATTAATTAGATAATATTGATTTTTGAATAGAACTAAATCATGATTCTGGTGGAGCAACAAATCTCCACTTTATGATTCACCAACGAGTATCTATCTATAGAGGCTGGATACCATCAGCAACGGCCTACTGTGGGTGAGAACAAACCAACTTCCAGCTGAAGAAGAAATTAGGAAAAGATGTTGGAAGTGGATAGGATACGCATTGAGGAAATCATCAGACTGCATCACGAAGCAAGCGCTAACTCGGAATCCTGAAGGGAAATGGAAAAGAGGAAGGCCAAAGAACACACTGTCGAGAATTAGAAGCAGACATGAAAATGATAAATAGAAACTGGAAACAACTGAAAACGATTGTCGAGGACAAAGTTATATGAAGAATTCTGCTGAGCAGCTTATGCTCCTCTACGAATGGCAACTGGCCTAAGTATGTAATCTAATTAAGGATGATATTTCGATTAGTATATTAACACTAGATAGATAAAATATTATGTGTTATGGCCAGTGAGAATTAATACATTAGATTTCACTTGTAGTTTGTTTTATTTAATATTTGTGAAATTCGCCGGAAGTTTAAGAAATCACAAAAATGTTTCACATTTATGGTATCTATTCGAGCAAAATGAAGAATTTAAACTAATGCATTACAAATCTGATTAAAATTTTGAGATCATGTGGATCGATATGATAATATGGAAACAAAGTTCACCAAATAAAATTAATTTCAATAAACCTCAGTCGTTTATACCAGCGCATTAATGCTCCCTGTGACGCAAGAAAATCAAATTACAATTCATAGTTCACTACCTTATAGAATTATTATTCACTACAATACGTACTTTGGAGTGACTTAAATTATACTGAAAAATGCAGAATAAGTTTAAGTGATTAATTAATAGTAGAATAAACTATCCAATATGGATAAACAGCGAAACTTGTAGCTCGTTAGACAGTTATCTCCCCGTGGAGCGGAATGCAAAATACAGGAATATCTCAATTGCTAATTGTGTTCGTAAATCAGTAATCCATGAAGCTTATCTTATCCTGAACAATGAAGATAATCTGTGTCAGATGAGGCAGTTACCCACCTATGACAATGGAAGATGGTCGCGTAATATCATGGATTGGTTGAAGTTAGACATCAACACTGATGGATGCTGGCCCAGTGGTCTAGAGTTTAAGCGTTCGTGCGCGGGGTCACGAATTCAAACCTCGCGTGCTCAATTGTGGATGTTCACTGCTTAGAAGTCCCATACTAAAACGAAACAGCCATCCAGTGCCTCCAGGTTCTCAGTAGTGGTTTAACATTGATCAATTCATGATGTCAGTCAAAACTCAACAATCTCCACAACCATATACTGCTAATTAGGTCAGCTGAATCTTTTTTACAGTTTTAAGTAAAAGGTTAAGGGTAGAGTATGTAGAATAGTCTATTTGGTTACCCCTGCATTTCAATGTCATAGTTATACTGTAGGACCCTTCAAACACAGAGTTTTTACGTACCTCCAAAATATCATGAGGAATGAATGTGATTTGTGGTTGGTTTATTTCAATAATCTAAAACTGTATTCCAATCTAGATTGATCACTAAATCATATGATCTTAAATTTAACTGTAACATTATTAAAACCCCCTAATTATCTGTCTCTGATTGAAATTTCAATCTATCTATTTAGTTTTTGAATGCAATTTAGACATAGACCGTCAGTCAAGACTAATATTCGTGGAAAAAAAATATATTATGTATATACAAAATTTTTAATTTAAAATCTAAAAATATTGTATTTCTTCTCATATGACTGACAGTGGATTGCTTTCTAGCATATTTCAAAAAAAAAAGATTTTCATTTACACTTTTAAATGTTCTTCATGTATGCTTTGAAGAGATGCTTTACAAATATTAAAATGGTGGTTTATATCAGCGCTATAGGATAATCATTTTTTAGCTTAAATTGGTAAAGTATTTATAATTATAGTAGAGTTTAAAAAAAATTTTTTTATTGTTATAACAACTGGTCGTTTAATAACTAATTTGATTGGTACTAAGATTTATCATGAAGTTGGAGGTATTCAAGTTAGTTGTTCAGGTAAAACATCTGAAAAAGGAGTATTCTTGGAGAAGTCAGGAAGATGATTGCTTTATGAATAAGCAGAAATCAATCTTTAAGGAATAATTATGAATACTTATGTTGATTATTTATTATTCAACTAGTAGATAGCAAGTTCTAATAAAAATTAATGAACTTCAATTGACCTGAAATCAATTAGTTTATTTTTGTCAATTTTATTATTGAAAACTTACATGTTGAAGCACGGCCGCTTGTTGTTAATTGAGTTGACATGGGTACTGGTTGTGTTTTTGATGAAGCTGATGCAGCAACATTGGCTGCAACGCCCTTACGTGATCTTATATACCATGATTCAGTTGATGCATGACTAAACATTAGACTGCTGAAATGTGTTAAGCATACATATGATAAAAGAATGATGTATTTTGGATTCATCATCAAAAATATTTCCAAAGATTTGTGTAAATTTATCAAGAACATTTATAGAACCTGTAAACAAAATGACAATAAATTAGTTGTAATTAGTTTTGATGAATAAAACAGAACTATTCATAACCAAGTGAAACAACAATTTACCTTTTAAAAATTCTGTTTATAAAAGGAATATTTTATTTCAATAAGTCCCTATAGAATAATGTTTATTAGCATCGTATAACTTCAGACATTTATTGACTAAAACTCAATGATTTAATTGTTACTAATATCATTATTTACTAACTTAAATGAAAGAAGGTATATTCACATAATGACAATAATTTCCATCACGAACTGACTCCAGGCGGAGAATTATCGAAAACAGAATTCACTAAACAGATATTTCGTCCTAGAGCATACTTAAGAATCATGATCATAAATTCACTGAAATTAAATCTAACCGTTGCTTCTGATTCAGTGTTATATAGGATTAGCATTTGTCCCAATATCTAGAAGGCATCTGCTAAACTCTATCTATGGTCTCAGTTGTGTCTTGGATGCCTTATGAAGCAGTTCTGAAACAACAATCATTTTTAGATATCTGGTTTATTTTGCTTACTCTTAGAAAGAAAATCCAAAAACATTAGAGTCAAAGTCATAGGTGTACTTACAGAACATCTGAGTAAATGGATTACATTTACACTAACTGACTCGAAACATACAAGGGAAATTTCTGATTAAAGCTTTGTATCATCTTTAGTAAACAGACGGATCGATTTACACCCCCCCCCCTACAGTGGTTATCGGTCACATTAGTTTATATATTCCTGTCAATTATTTTATTAATAAGATATAGCTGAGTGTGATCATATAAGTGGTTGACATTAAAGTAGATTACGTCCCAATGGGTAGCCACATAAACATAATCACATTTCCCGAATCATTTTTAAGTATTCAAGTATACTGTTGTTTTTAAAAAAAAATAGTTCAGGTAATAAACTTGGTAATACCAGCAACTTCCATTCCGTAGAATAAAGTATAAATAGATAATTACCACAGACTTATTTCTTCAATAGAAAATATAAAGATGACATTTTTTTATACAATATGTAAGGTTTCAATAGATATATGAGCTGGACCGTAGTGAATAACCAACCATTTAAAATTCGGAAATTTGGTGAAATTCTTTATGAGTAGTCTAACCGTAGATGTGCTTTCGACTAGAAATTAAGTGAATTGAATTGGAAAGTCTTTTTTTAACTATATATACAAAATTAATATATTGCGTGCATTCATTCTCAAACTCTTACCAGTAAAATATCACTTTTTATGGGTTGTTAGATCCTATATTTTTTTAAAGCCAGAACCATATGTTTATTAGAATTTTTAAGGTCTAGAGTAATTATATGCGGATCTTATAGCTATACAATCACTCCCTATGCACGCATAAATTCTTGTCATTTTATTCTGAATAAATGAAAATCTATTGGCAGTAAGATGGATCGAAATTACATCTTTGACATAGACAATAAGATGCTACATGTGAGCAACGACAGCCTTCTTACTTAAATTGCATATCAGAACTAAAAGGTGGACATCATTACGTAAAACGTAAATTAAAAATACAAATTTAGTATAAAAGTGTTAAGCTAAGAATTCGAAGTTTGTAGATGATAATTTTTGTGGAACAGAGTTTAACGTCGTCAATCTCATTTCAAAGGTGATTATATGCATCTACGAAATACGAAGATTTCTATTTTATGAGTATTTTTTGATGTCCTCAACATTATATCAATAACTTATTTGTTTGCGCTTACACTTTCAGCTTTTCAAAAATAAAACAGGGATTTGAAATTTCTCGTGCTACAAAGCTAAAATACGGTAAATAATCCCTGTTAATGATTTTGTCTTTAATATCATCCAAGGGGGAGAACCTTTATAAAAAATGTTCAGCCAAAAATGGGGTCAACATCTATTCAATTTTCTGATAAGTTATTTGAAAATATTTTAGGAACTTACATCTGAATATTTAGACCGCTTATCAGGATAAAGTACGTTTGTAAAAAATGTATATCAGTTACTGTTGATTTTAAAATCAGACCGGTTGACTGAACTCAGCCCTAGATCGAATTAATCATTTATAAACTAAAGAGGATTTTATCAAAACTATCACCAGCAATTATTATTAAAAAATACTATCGGTTTATTAGCTAAATTAAATTATACTTCAAAGTAAAAGTTTTGCTTTGTTTAGAAACAAAAAAATTAATTATGTACGTCAACTTCATAACAAAATCTTCAGGGCTAAATTGAAATTTGCCTTACAGCGCTTCTGAAATAGTCTTGAAGATAACACAACTACTTTAAAAAAAAAGCCTAATCAAGGAAACTCTGTTGTAAGTAATTGTATAAAATGCGCTGCTGAAAAATCGAATAAATCTATTTGATATTATTTTGTCACTTTTTATTCTGCATATAAATATGAAAGAGATATAGGTCTTCGGCGCTGAATGGAATAAAGCTTATGTTTATGAAAAGATAATTTCTTATTGATATAAATATTGTGCCGGAAATTCTAACTAACAGTTTACTTACAGTTATCATGACGAACGAATTTCAGTATCATCATTTAGTTTTGTTCTGATCAAAGATCCATCTTGTACTAAATTCAACCTTTTTCTTTCATTCTCATTTTCTTTATTTCTGTTACTAATTATTACTTCTAAACAAACAATAAGAATTTTCTCTTAGCTTTCTTTTCCATAAACACAGTAAGTGTTTTGGATTTTCTTCTTTTTTTTCTACTCTTAGTTATATATAATATTTTACAGAATCAATCAAACTTATACCCTAATTGAACTAACTCAATTTTTATGTGAAGGGAAGAAAGAGATAGTGAGTAAGAAGAGTAGGAAGGAGCTATAAAAACTAACTGTTCACCTTGTCTTATCAGATAAACTTATCGACAATTGAATCAAGTAATTACAATCTAATAATCAATTAGGATAATCTTGATTTATTTGATTCATTCACTTTATTCTACCATAAGTGAGCTTATATTCACTACTGTAAAGAAGCTAGCAGTATTTATTAGTTTTCTTCTTCTTTCCTTTATTTTCTTACTTTATTAAATGCTGGTGCACGTTTCTGTTTTTTATCTGGAATGAGATCTATCTTTTATAATATACTTATATATTTACAATGTTATTTTAGGTAACGCAAAAATGCTTATGTCAAATATCATCAAAACCTTTATGCTTGTTTAGAAGATTCGGACGCTGCTAAAACAAGTTTATTAAAAACGTGAGCCGAGAAACATATTATGAATTAAACTGTCTCAATACGTAGCTCTCAGTCCCAAAATAACAAGCCATTAAACAAGAAGTTGGACAATTTCTTTATAAAAAAAGAAATTCCATCAAAATATTTTTTCGGTTTCCATGTAGTTTAAAGTATCTCAGGTCTTCTTTTTTGATGTAAATATTTGTTTAAAGATAACTATTAAACACTTCACTTCATTAGTGATTATTCGTCTGAATATAATAACTACACTTTTATGATTAAAGTTTTTCATGACAATCAACTAATTGGCTTCCCTCCTTCAGAAGATTTCACCTAATATTTGAAGCAATGGAAAAACTAGAGTCCAAAAAGTGTCACATAATTAGTATAAAACAACCAAATGAACAACTCATTTTTAACTGAAGTTATTTTGGAAACCAGATCCTTATACACCTAATAAACTATATTTGAAAATCACTCACACTCATTATATGGTAACGAAAAAATGTTTTATTCTGCATAAAAATGCAGTAACAAAACTAATTATGAACTTCCAAAGCTAGTACTATTACACTTTAGAGTTGTCATTTTACTGGAAAACTTCTATCCACTGTCTGTTTATGATAACTATATTCAGAAAAATGAACCTGTGGAAGATGTATGGTAGTAATATTTTTTTACGCTTCACTCTCATAATTTATTTACAACAAACACTTGTTCAGACTCTGACTGGACGACAACAATTTCTTCATTCGTTAGGATATGCATGTTTCCTGGGAAGAATGTGGCATCTCGGTGGGACACATTTATGTATAGATGGAAAGTTGGAAAACTGATGACGTACTTTGTAATATATTAAAAACCACATTTATAATATGGCTGTATTCTTCATTATTATGGAAATTTCAGTGCGGTAACAGACTTGTTTCGTTTCTGCTTTCTGGATTGTTGTTTTATTTAGGTACATATAAAATGATGTGGCTCAAGTGTTGTTGTTGTAGTTGTTTATTTGAAAAAAAATGTTACGATAGAAAAGTATGTTTTATAGAAACAGCATACGAAATAAACTATGAGCAGTTTGCTTAAAGTATTTTCAGCTTGATTTTCTCATTTATAAAGGGCTCAGCTACTAAGATTTCTACTTCTGCATTTTCTTGGCTGAAAAACCGAGTTCTAAATTTAATTGTACGTAGACTTTAAGTTTCCGTATAAGGGTTGTGAAGATTAAGATTGATTGAGATCATGAACCGATTTATGTTAGACCACCATTGAAAACCTGGAAGCGCTGGACGGCCGTCTCGTCCTATTGTGGGACTCCTCAGCAGTGCGCATCCACGATCCCACATCTCGCAACATTCAAATCCATGGCCTTCAGTCTCGCGCGTGAACCACTTAACCTACTGGACCACTGAGCCGGCGTCCAATGTTGTTAATTTCTAACCTCAACCAATCCACGAAATTGTGTGACCATCTTCCGTTGTACTGAGGTAGATACCTGTCTCTAATCGACACAGATTAGATCCACTGGTCACGGCTTCTCACTAGAACTCCGAGAATTCTCTCACGAAGCTAGTCCCACAATAGGATGGAACGGCCGTTCAGTGCTACCAGGTTTTCAATGGTGATCTAACATCAATCGGTTCATGATCTCAATCAAAAACCTTAAGTTTGTTTTTGAATAATAGCTTAAAGGGAATATTTTTTACTTCACTATTAATGAGTTCATTATTGAAATTATTTTCCGTGTGCATGTGGTTCAAATTCCTGAAAAGTTGAGAAGTCTTATATATCAC